CTTGTGCGTGCGTGTGTGTGTGTTTGCGCTCGTGTGTGCTCACGCCACTTGTCGGCGATTTCACTAGACATGAAACCTTTCGAGTGCCCAGCGTCTGGCTGTAGCGTCCGCTTCACTCGTTTCGGGTCAGGCAAGCGTCACATCTGCACGTCGCACAAAGGTGCTGACGTTGCGGACCTTCTGCAAACGTTCAAGAAGAACAGCAAAGAGGTTGCCATTGTGTACCCATGCCCCGAGAACACATGTACCCAGACCTTCAGCAGCAGACAGGCGCTCTCCAGGCACCAACTACGCGACCACGGAAAACAGAAGGTCAGAATCTGGTGGTGATTGTACACGCTTGCAGCGTGTGTGTGTGTGTGTGTGTGTGTGTGTGTGTGTGTGTGTGTGTTTATGCGTGCGTGTGTCTGCGCTCTTTTGTGTGTGTATGTGCGTGTGTTGCTCACCAGCGGCGCTCTGCCCCATATGCCAGGCGCGTGGTCATTTTCAGTGCCGGAGCGGTTGCGCAGATGCTGCGTTTTGTACCGCGAAGGAACTCATGCAGCATGTTATCACGGATCACGACGCCTCATGTGAGTATTTGATTGTGGCCTGCCTGTTGTCTCCGATCCTGTGTTTCTCATCAGCAATGTCTCTCCTGCCCGACGTCGTTCGTTGCAGGTTGTGTCGTGCGCTACTACGCCTCGTGGAGCAGGTTCGAGTCGTGCATCGCCGCGGCAGAGTGTGACGACTTTGCCCTCGCCGATTACGTCAAGCGTGACCACACCTGCTGCTTCCCACCAAAAGCTGCCGCGTGGGGCCTCGAACATGTACAGGTGGAAGAAGAATTCGTCCGGACGTGCTCTCGGCATGGCAATGAGCGACCATATCAGGGCACAATCCGCGCTCACCGTGCAAAGGCGCCAAAACCTGTTGGGTGTTGTCCAGCAATGATGTGGGGGCAGGTCTGCAAAGGCGGGCGAGTGCGGGTGGTGATGTTCAACTACCACTCACATTCGAAGGACCTGCGTCACCTACAGCTGCC